TTTTAGCGATTCTATAGCTTATTAACATAGAATTTATAACAAAAAAAATAGTTATCAGTAATGAAGCACTTACCATTCACAATTGTATTAGTCATTTGTGCAATCTTGTCTCATTGAGTTTTAATGAGATCACATTCTCTTTCTACCGTAATTCATTTTAGTATCTTTTATTTGCTCTTACATTATTTCAAAGAGCAACTCTCCACTATATGTAAGGAGATAATCTGGGTACAAGAAGGGTCTGGGAAAACTCCCCAAAACTCCTGAGCCCAACTTTGCAGAAGACCACATGCTACTGCAGTTGCCTCCACCTGTGACACCAGCTAGTAGGAGTTAGAGAGTAAAAGATTCAGAGGGAAGGGTCAGACTCAGGGTAAGGAGAAACTGCTAAGGAGGCTAACATATCCACCACAGCCTTGGGATTTTCAGACTCAGGCCCCATAGATGCAGTTCAGCCTCATCAATTAGGGGAGGAGACTAAGGTATTTTGAACTAAGGCACTGCAAAAAGGTCTGAAGTTCCTTAATGAATAGAAAGATCTGAAGCTTCTGAGAACAAGTTAGGGCACAAATGCCACTTGTAGGCATCATCACTTCACTTTACCTTTTCTATAACATACAAACACCAAACACACACCTTTGTTTCACATTAAATATATTCTAAAATCATTTCAGTTTGTTAAAGATGACAACTTGGCATAATAGCATGCTTGGCAGAAAGATAATTAACCTTTATTTTTCTACTATGAAGGATTTTCCCTCTTCATAATTATAAGACAGTATGAACTTTAAGTTTCCTATATTCTCAGCAAGAACTGAAAACACGTAGGGCCTATGACTGTACCTGCAAGCCCTCAGTAGCAAAGCAGTTTGCTCAAGCCCTCGGAAGAAAAGCAGTGCTGCACTTTCCAAGCCTAAGAAGACCAGATGAGAGTCACCTGAGTTGGAGGGTTCCTCCCTTAGGAGAGGCGCAGTTGGGAGGAAAGAGGCTATGGATGGTGAGATAAAGAACAGATTTGAGTTCAGACAAGGAGAGAATGAATCAGGATCAAGAGACTGCCCTGCATCGTTTTCAGGGAAAATGGAAAGTTATTAGAATCCCCAGTCGGGGAGTGCAATCCAAACCAGGATTCCAACATGGATCTCAGGTTTACAGATTGGTAAATTTCTGATCAGCATATTCAGGGGAAATTTACCCAATAAGCAAGAGAAGCATGGGCTTACTTATGCTTACTTACTAATCTGTAGTAAATTTACTAGTCTGTAGTGAACAGGTTCACATGCATTTAACAAACATGCATGTGAAATTGTAGGAAATCCATGTGAAGTTTTTACCACAGATTAGTAAGCAAGCACAAGTAAGCCCTTACTTACCTTGCTTACTGGGTATTCTGTCTCTGTCAGGGATTGTAAATTTGAAAAGAGGCTTTAGTTCTATAGGAAGGTGCTATGGGTTTGGGAGAGACAGATGCCAGCTATACACAGAAGCAGAATCTTTGATGTGGTGGAAAAATGTGAAATTTTTCACTAAAAGATGAGGAAGCACAAGTAAGCCCATGCTTACCTTGGTTTTTGGGTAATCTGACACCTGCACATGATGACAGCTCTTTGAAATGCTACCTATACAAAGTCCATAGATAATCCTGCAGGTTGAAGGATCCTTATTTGCTAAACCCACCAAACTTCCTCATATGGACATACACCTGCCTACTTGATGCCCCAGCACAATCTAAGACAATCTAAGACCCCAGAATACAAGATAACATGATTGCTACCCAAAGGTTCAGAGGTAATTGAGAGGGAGGAGAGCAGATCTGATACCTGTATATTAGTCCAGGACTCTTCTTGGCCTTCACCTGAGAAAAACAAGTATAAGTAACTGGAAGCAATTTATAGCTTTCATACTCTTTTCAGGAGAGGGCTTTATTACTGGGACCAGGAGGCTCTGTTAAAAAGAGGATGATTCCCAATGTGTAGATCTTTTATGTTGTATATACAATTTCAGGTCTGATTTTCTTGTAGCCAGTGTCCTAGATTGGGGGCTGGACATTCATGCAAATGAGAGATGTGAATGCCCTTGGAAAGGCGTGTGTCAATAATGCAGCAGAGTGCAGATGGGTCATAGAGAGCCAGAACCTCAGTCACTGCAGCAATTGGTCACCAGAATGCATGGGTCAAAGGAAAAAAATTTTAGGAATCGATTTCCTTGTTTCTTTGCATGAGTGCTGGAGATAAGAGGGTATGTATATACATAGTGAGGAATACTGGAAATATCCAACATAGAATCTCTGCCCTCACCAAAAACCACTCACATGAGGAACCTGGAAATTCCTGTGACCAGACAGGTAAGAACAGATACTACTTGACCAAATAGTCCATTGTTTTTATTTTACCCAGCTTAGAACTCAGTTGGTGAAGAGTTGGAAATAAAGATAGCAGAAGACATGGGGATACCACCAAGCCCTCCACAGACATCCACTACAGAAACGTTTTCCCTCCTATCACACATAACAGACTTTCGTCATTCATATGAACTACCACAGCCTATCACATCACTGGAAAACATGAGGCTGACCAGGGCAAATGAAACAGTGTCCTACATCATTGTTGGGAAAGCCCACAGAGTACTCCTTAACTTCCTATATTTCTTGTAAATAATATTTTTTAAAAAAGTGGGCAAAGAAAAAAAAAATAAGATGTTCAGTGAAAGAGAGTTACATCAGAAATAGTTCATATCAACCTTTAATTAGTAGGTTCAGCCAAAGAGGCTATTACAATTATAAGGCTAATTAGCTATGAAGACAATAAGAATAAACATGTTTTACAATATACCAAAATATTGATTTTAAAATTAGGTAAGAATTTTAAAAATATCTTTGATTCTTTATTAAAACAATTCAAATCCTTGGCAAAAGCAGCAATTTTAAAAGGAAACTAATAGGTATTTTTAAATCATTTATTTAAAGTCATAGAGAGGTAGCAAGCAGCTCCTTCTTGGGGCTGCCTGCAAAATGTTTCTTGGAGCCTGAGGAACATTTGGATGCTGAAGCTTTAGGTAATGCCTATTTTTGCATAACCACCTGATCTTTGGAATCTAAGCATACTGATGAGTGAGGAGCAGGTATATAAAAAATACACTGTCACTGCTTCACTTACAACTGACAGCAACCCTATAGGACAGAGTAGAACTGCTCCATAGGGTTTCTAAAGCACTAATCTTTACTGAATCAGACTGTCACATCTTTCTTCTGAGGAGTAGCTGGTGGATTTGAACCTCTAACCTTCTTGGTTAGCATCAGAGTGCTTTAACCACTGTGCCATGAGGGTTCCTTCCATGTATGTACATATATAATATATATTTATGTAGACTCAAAAAGAATAGAAAATTAAACTGTATAACATTAGTCTATCTAGTTTAATTTTCTAATTGTTGAGTCTACACACACAATTAGGAGTAAAAATATATATTAAGAAAAAAATCAGTGATGTCTGGAGAGAAAAAATAATTTTTGAAATCGAAAAGGACACTAGAAATCAGGATCAAGTGTCTTGGAGCTACCAAAAAGAAGTAACCTTGCTTCAGTAGGTTATGAACTATAATATAGCAAATTAAAAAGTTGTAGTACTAAGTACAGACACATAAAACATGAGAATAAACTGCATGGGACACTATCTGTTTATAAAGTATTAGGGAAAAAACTTTCAAAAAAAAAAAAAAGCAAAAATGCTAATCAGTAAGTTCTTTCAATGTCATTAGGGATATAGCTTAACAGACCCACTAAAGAATTATTGAAGTATTGATTGAATATCCATATTTAGAAGAATATATTAACTCACAGATTTTTTTTTCCTGTTAGAGATGCAAATAATCTCAGGGTAAAAAAATGATGACACCAAATACTATGGTTTATGTCCCTGTAGGACTTTAGCAAGTTTTATATATAATGTAACAATATTTTGTAACTTTCTTTATAAAATTGTCAACAAATAAAATGTTCTTCCAAACAGCCTTTCTATCTTATTGGTCTTTTCAGTTAATGAACATAACAAAATATTTAAAAGAATTTATATTTCTATGGG